CCGAAAATAATTCCGAAATTCGGAATGCAAAACCTCTCTATTATTGAAAAAACCGAGCGAGTATTCGAGTATTTGGTATAATTGTTTCACCCCTACTTGTAGGTAACGATTTCTTGTGAAGCTTTTGCGTTCAATTATATAATTCAATTGAGTGTTCTATTTATTTCCGAAACTGGGTTGTCTTTTTTGCTTTGCGTCTTACTTCATGGTGTTGTGAATAAAACCGTTCTCAAGTGCAGTAGTCAGCTTACAGTTCAGTACTAGCAAGGCAGGGATACTACATACAAGTAATAATTATAAAGTCATAAGCCTTGACTAGTCATAAGCGTTGTGACATACACAATCATCATCATACTTCATACTGTACACATAGCGGTTCCAGGCTCTCACACTTTGGTGCCGCGTTGGGTATACATCATCATTACATGTACATGTACATGTATACCCAACATGTAGTGTGCTGGCAACTGAAATCCGACCCCCTTGGCGGCGCGGCGCGCCGGCAAGGGGGTCGGATTTCAGTTGCCAGCACTGTATCTCTCAGTCTCACTGCTAACATTATGCATAGCACCTACACGTAGCACCTGCATTGCTATTTAGTGGGCTTGTGCCTTTTCTGGTTGTTGGTGAAGCTCATAGACTCTACTGGTGGTTATCCTGGACAATGAAACCTTCTCAACACTCAGCTGAACCTCTGCTGACCCGGCAGGGAGTTTTCCAAGTGTCAGAACACTTCCGCCAGAAGTAACAAGATACAGGAATGTACACTTTAGCTCTCATGTGGAAGAGCCTACACACAGTACACAGTACACAGTCAGACATCGCAGTCCGTCACGCAACTACAATGTAGTCTACTGACTCCGCAAATGACCCGAGAAACCTACCGGCTTCAGCAGCAGGATGGGCTCAGTCTTCCAGTTGCAAGAATGAACGCTGTCGAATCGAGGTATACCTTCAGCGCTATACAGATAAATGGACCAGATTACCCGAAAACGTCCGCTCCAGCAGGATCAGCACCACGTTCGAGACCTTCAAATCTGAAGCGGTAACTAATACTGCCATGATACGTCACCAACTGTGCCTGTCGTGTTCCGTGTTCAACAGTAGCCATGTTTGACACTGGATTCGTAGACTAGACCTCTAGTACTCCTGCTGACTATCATTTCCAATGCATCCATGTAAATAATAATTATTATGTTGCATACACCTCTTCCCTTTCTCACGAGTCACAGAATACCACGTGTCTGGTTTGTGGTAAGTAGCAATGGTAACTAATACTAGATTCATGCCTCTTCCCTCTCCTTATACAGTGGTCCCTCTATAATCCGGCACCATTTGTGCTACGGAAAATCTGCTGGATTAGGGAGGGTGCTGGATTAACAAATCTGATGTACTGTTGCAATGTGCATGAAGAGGACATTTTGGCTACTGAAAATTGTGCTGGTTTATCGAGGGTGCTGGTTTATAAAGTGCTGGATTAGAGAGGGACGACTGTATACATGTACACCTTATCTCTTCGCTACCCTGCCATTGGGAAGAAACTCCCGTTTGGATTTGCGAAATAGAGCAAAAAGTCATCATCATCATCATCTCCCAGCCTGTCAAGAGTGAGGAAAACCCGACCCGCCGTTTCAGATGAATACGGTACGTGCCATTGCGCACTTTGGACTCTAAGGGCGCGTTCGAATTGTCACTCTTTGACTTTTCGAGGAGCTTCGTTTTTCTGAAGAGGTGGCCTTATTGGCCTCTTCAGAAAAACGAAGCTCCTCGAAACTCATCCGATGGGAAGGTGGATTAGTTTCGAAGAGTTTGGAATAGCTACGTCACGTAGTACGTGGAGATGGTCGATCTGATCGGACGTTATCATCGCCATGACAATTCCACTGAAAAACTCTAAAATGATAGAAACCGTTCTAATGGGACACTTCAACTAATCTCTTTATAAAATTTGTTAGAACAGTTGATGAAGACAATTCGAACGCGCCCTAAATTAGTCTAATAGTACATGATAGGGGTGAGGCATAATGCAATTATTTCATAACTCAAAGAGAAGTGGCGAGCACACATGCGCTTTCCCTGCACACTGCAAATAATTCACAACTCAATCACACTTCACAGCATTGTACTTCCTCTGTTAAAACCCTAGGACTAGCCTAGGACAGGGAATATTTCTACCTCACACAGTTCACCCCTATTAAAGGGCCTTATAATTATGGGGTGAACTGCCCGAGGTCAAAATATGTTCGAATCATAAAGCAGTTCGAGTACATTGTGGTAGGATTCTGATTGGAGTGTAGTGTGGTGCTTGCAGGGACATTCTATACGGCCAGGTACATGTATTGTATTGATGGTGGACAAGTTACAAATCGGGCAGTCAACAAGTCGCATGCATGGCACGGCTAAGTTTTAGTATCATCCACATGCACACAGTCCTGTGTACAAATATGAATATGCACATGCACACATACACATGTGCACACATACACACAATGCCATACACACATGCACACACACATGCACACATACACACGCGCACGCGCACGCACGGACATGCAGCGCAGCCGTTGCATAATGACATACATAGACAAGAGGGAGTGTGGCCGAACAGCTAGAGCAAATTGCATATTATACCGGATAATGGTTACAGGCATCATGAATAATTTGTACTCGGGAAAACAACAAGAAGCGCAGCTTATCATGATAACAATCAGAAAAGACTGTAGTGCCGATTCTTTTATATAAAAGAACTTTGTGTCCCCAGATTGAGCATATAAAAGAACACAAATCTGGCTCAGGACAAATACAAAAAACGAATGTAGTAAACTGCTAAATGCTAAGTCATGTGCATCATGTCATGAGCACCAGGGAATCACAGTAATAGGTTAGAGAGATACACGAGACCATGGACCATGGTGTGCGTAGCGATGTGCGTTCAAACAGCCAGATTCGGAAATTCCACGTGATCCACCGGCCCTGGAACTCGCAATCATGAACACTGTCATGACTGGCTGACACTCAGTCAACCGCAACCCAAAGCAGCTATGCCATATGCACGCAGGCACTCATGTGCCCAGGCACAGACAGGTCATTGTAACAGGAAGCCCAGAGTAAAAGCCACATCGTTTCAGGCACCACTAGCCAGTGTGATCCCACAAGATGCTATGACTCACAAGCTGCTAAGATTGCCTACATACCACAACTCCCTGGTGAACATACAATGACCGTGGCTGATTGGTGTTGGGCGTGTGCAACTACTCGTGCTACATTCACCAGGGTAATTATTATCACTGTGATTCCTCGTATTCCATGCGATCAGACCTCATCAAGTGCTCCAACAGAAGAGGATGCCTCAGACCATCTGCAATAGGCTGTACAGAAAACACCGCAGCACAAAACAGGGAAAACTATTACTTGGTCCGCCCAGTTAAAATTGGCGCTTATCTTCTCACTTGGTTTTTTGGTGTTCTGCCTGTGGCACACGGCATGGAACCACCGATTCACCATCCGAACATGACCATTGACCATTCCATCCGACGACATGGCAGCACAAACCATCACAGAAGTTGTGATCGGTTCGTTTGAGTCTTTTTGACGGAGCTGCCGCCGACGAACACTTCCGTCAGCGCAAGAAAACACTGCAACCTCCGCTCGAGTCCGTAAAATAGGTCAGGATGTTCGCATTTCAGAGCGATGGAGAATACAGTTTCTGTCTACTTCCAGCTGTCTGATGGCAAGGATTGTTTACCCCGGGGAGGTATAGAAAAGCTGAAAAAGCGCTTCGCGAGCTTGAATTTCAGTGCTTGCACAGTACAGCGCCTAGTGAAGGGCTATCACCAGCAAATTGCTGGCGAAGAAACTGCAGCTCATGTCGATGTCTCCAGTAAGTGAGACCAATCCGGCGGACACACTTTGAAGCTCACAGAGGACAGGGCAAAGGAGCTAATCAAAGGAAACACCAAGTCCTGAGAGAAACACTCGTGCAAAGGACTTTCAGGAAACTAGCCGAAAAGCCTGGTGCACGGCGTTGTAGGTGCAGTACGCACAGGTGCTACATCAAGCGGAAGCTATCACTGCGCTGCATGTACAAGCACCAGCGGCTCGCGTGGGTACGGGTGCTGATCAGCAAGTACGACAAGCGCAAGGGGCGATTTGAAAAAAGGACACTGATATGGCGTTGCCTTATTGTCTCAAACAAAGTCGCATTATTGCGACGAACGGGGATAACACTTACAGTCAACATGCGGGCAGTCTCACTCAGCTTCTGATGAGAAGGTGACAGGCACGCACTGCCTTTGAGCGTGATTCGAGACGAGGAGAAGTGGAACAAGCTATGAAACGACCCGTGCAGCAGCTGTCCGGATCGTACGTTTTGAGCTCTTCCTCCAGCGACGATAGTGGCGAGGAGGATGTGTAACTTGCTTGAATTTTCGACTGAGTTGCTTACTGATATGTAAATAATCATGTATACAGTGCTTTGTGATCGTGGCTTGCTTCAAATATTCGTATTTCTTTCCTGAGACAAGTGTGAAGATAAGGCCATGGTAAAAAATATCTTTGATTCTCAAGTACGCGCGCATCGATTTTTGGTGGCGCACCGACGATTTTTTTTATTTCTATGCATGCATACGGTCAATGCGAAAGGCATGAATCCGGGAGTAGTAAAATACCGGTATTTTTCTACTCCCTGGCCTGAAAAATAAAATAATTATAAATTAATTATGAACCTGTGACGTGCACATGTGTGACCCTATCTTTGGAAATAAAAAAATTGTGGGAATTAAAATAAAAAATCGCTCGCTCGCACCGATTTTCACAGGCTCATGACCTGAGAATCAACTTTATTTTTTACCATGGCCTAAGCGCCAATTTTAACTGGGCGGACCAAGTACATGGATTTTTAATCAGTTGCGGGTCCTGAATATAGATTTTTATTTTTGTTAAGCTGATGACGTCAAGAAGTTGGTGCACTCTTTGATAGTGCATTATGGATATTTGGAGAAAAGTGACTCGTTTAGGGGCAGTCCGTAAATATGAACTTTTTTCACCAGACGAATTATTTTAGTTTAGACCCAACCCCTCCCTCCCTCCCTCTCAGACTCAGAGCGTAGAACATGTTGACATACATGTACATCCGTATACCGGTACATGTATAACAAAAGGTGCAGGTGCGCCACTGCTCCAATGGCCATGTACATGTACATGCATCAATGTTTTCTGAAACGAAATTGGTCAACCCCCTCTCACCCCATAACGAAATTATTCTGTTTTGTGACAAAAGTTCGATAATTATGGACGACCCCTTAGGGATAGTAGTTTAGTGACAGTTGCTCTACTCAGCAGTTGAGCATGAGCAACTGGCATTTGACATGCCGCCTTTTCTCTAGGGTGAAACGGTTCGGGTAAGGAACCGGTTTTGGAACCGCCAGCTGAAAATAATCGGGTATCCGTTCCGTCAAATTTCGAAACTAAACTCAAAAAATCTCGTTCTCCTACAAATACATGTACACGTCAAATCTACTCAAGATTTAAATCTCTTACCTAACGATCACCGTCCTTCCAAAGGGTTCTCCTGGTTATCATCTTCTTCACACATGGACTCTCCGATGTCTAGTTCGTGCTCGTAAAAATGTTTTCTAAAAAATAATTTTCACGAACGCGTTTAGTCAGTCTGGAGAAAAGAGTGAATAGAAGCGATACCCGGACCACCGTAGGATACTATGCTGGCATTAGGGTACCCCCCCCCCCCCCCCAACATGAAAAACATGGAACCGTTTTACCCCTACCTTTCTCTCATCCATGAATGAACCCTAAAACTGAATATGACCTTCCCTAATCCCACCAAAAAACAAAAAAGTTTAGTTCGCCTTAGCAATGCAATGATGTGAATCAAAGCAATCGCCTTGCCAGTACGAGATACACCTCTTTTGCTTTTGTATTTTGAAGTAGATCCAAACTGCAAAAAACATCTGAGCCTGCCTCGGCTAGTGGCTCACCTGATGGTCCATCGGTATTGGCTTGTCGTGTCCCCTTGGTCCGATCAAGTCTCTCGTTGAGCAAATACTAGTGGCCGTGATATTGGATAGAGGTCGGCGAGCAATTTCAGCCTGTCTCTCATTCTCTTCGTCATCCTCATCCACTGTGTACCTGTGTGCAATGTGGAGGAAATGAAATAACACCTTTATTGCCCTCACAAAGGACCAATATGACCACATGTTTCACCCGCTACACCTAGATATTGTGTATCGGGCACATGGCACCATAATCACAAGCAGCGGTTCATATCAAGTCTTGACTTGCAGGTGAGAAATAGTAGCTGTTGCCATCGCAACCTGAAGAAGAACTGCATGCTCACATCGTACACACCGGATCTTCCGTCCATCTGATGGGAGTCTATAGATCACCATGGCTACAGGCACAGGGTGAGTGGGTCTGTATCATGGGCCTACAGTGCTCAGTGCTGCACCTGAAATTTCACTACCTAACATGATAATTATATCTTACTTTCTGCAGTGCTTAGGGTTGTCAAGATCAAGACTTAGTGCACACCCAGCATTTCTCACACTTTGTATGGGACATACGACACCTTATCAGTATTCCAGCTGAAATATGTCTGCAAGGAAGCTTGTAGCTGTGGCAAAACAGATCATTGAATAACCTGGCCAGGTCTCCATTAAATGCAGACCCTAGCCAGTATGGGAGAAAATTGTACTCTCATACCAAGCTCATCATTTGGCCTATTCTGGTCAAAATATGAAGTCATCACTTGTGTGCATTCAATGTACTTCGAACTAAACATTGCCAAACATCCCTCCACCTTCTATAAAACGGCTTCTTGCCGGACTGCAGTCTCCAATGCTGGATGAAATGATAGGCAGATACAGCTGCGGCCAGAACGGTAACAGAGGAGATGATAACTGCATAGACGGTTGGCATGAAGTTCGCACTGCTGAGGAACTTTGGCCACCCAGAGCAGCGGCTTCCCACTTTAGCCACACTGATGAAGCTGACCAGCGAGAGGAGAAGCGTCTCAAACCAGTTATCGGCATCGGCTAATCTCCATATCTTCTTGTTGCGCTTCAGGGGCCTAGAAAAATGCAGATAAATAGAAGGAGAGAGAGGGAGAGAAGTGTACATGTGGGTGCGTCATATGAAGCGGGGCTCGCATTGAAGGGACGTGCCAGTACGACTGATGGTATACCCTTCTTGCTATTCAATGAGACTGGCTGCCCTCGGTACAGTGCCCGATCATTTCCGGTTATGTCATAAAGTCATAAAAGGGGAAAACATAACACGTCGAGTGGAGTTCCAACCAGACACTCCAGATATGAGCTTAATCTATGCAAGCGTATAGCTGTTCATCCTCTGGCCATTTCTCCCTGCCTTGAAAGTGGTGATGTTCATGGTTTAACACGGCTTGGAAGCAAAAATAACTCCCAGGGGCACATCTGGGTGCACTACTCCGTAGTGGCCCATGGTACATGCACTGAAGTAGAGAAGTGGTTACAGAAACATTGCTCAGTCTGGCCTCAGCGGCTCTGGCAGTGGCACCAGTGCCCCCTCCCCCCCCCCCCCCCCATCCCCTCTCTCTCCAGGCCATCGTAGTTACTACTGCCAATATGCACCACCCTTTCATGAAGGGAATCACTTCGACTCCATGATACGTATACTAACAGATATGTATCATAGATGCATGGATCCAAGTATATGTCGACTCTAGTGTGACTGCTGTCTTCTTTGACAAAGCATAGAACAACTAAAGGTCCATGGCATAGGTAATATCATTAGAACACAGTCGAACGGCTAGGCTTGCAGCAGTTAGAAACGCCCCCCCCCCCCCCAAAAAAACAAGTTGATGTGCAAAAGTACTGCCCATACGTGAACGCCACTTGCTATGCTAGGCACATGACATACAGTCCCGCCCATACCTGAACGCCACGTGCAATACCAGGCATATGACACACACAAGCGCCACCAGGTACTGGCGGAAACGCAGTGAGTTGATTGCACCGACAAGACAGGCCAGCAGCAGGCGCCGGACAAGGTCCACGGACGCCCACCAGTGAGGACCGTCCTCGTACATCTTCATTGCCTCGTCGGCGTACCACTTGAACTGGGGTAGACTACGTAACCATGGCACCGCCATGATGATTGGTGGTGGCATGACAAACACCAGCAGGATCACGATGGCAAAGGCTGCAAACGGGCCGTGCTCTTTGCTGAATAGCTGGATGGTGCCATCGTGGAACATGACTGTGTAGGATTGATTTTGGATCCCGATCAGCTCCACGTTGTTCAGCAGCGAGCCACAGATATAGGCCAGCGAACTACTGCAGTAGATGATGCAGAACCAGACGACATGCGCCAGTGAGTTGCGCTTCTGCAGCCTCTGCAAGTGCTTGGCCCAGTAGCCAGTGCGTATGGCCCACCAGGTTAGAGCGGCAAACAGGAACATAAACAACGGGTGAGCAAGGAGAACCACCTTAGCCCACAGTGGTGTGAGCTGCTCCAAAGTACACAATTGGCCAAGGCCCAGCGACAAGATTGAGAAGAGTAGTGTGCGCATTGTGTGGGCTTCCGCTGAGATCGTGAACACCACCTGCGTGCATGGGGGAAACAATCATTGCACAGAACATTAGGTAAAACGGTTCCTCCTGGAAAACCAATGGCTGTGTGTACGTGTGTGTGTGGGGGGGGGGGGGGATGGGTTTGGTGGGTGTGCGTGCGTGCGTGTGTGTGTGTGAGAGAGAGTGTGTGTGTGTGTGTGAGTGTGTGTGTGTGTATGTGTGTGTGTGTGTGTGTGTGTGTGTGAGAGAGAGAGAGAGAGAGTGTGTGTATGCGTGTGTGTGTGTATGTGTGTGTGTGCGTGCGTGCGTGTGTGTGTGTGTGTGTGTGCGTGTTACCAGATGTTGGTCCCTGTCGGGTCTAGTTGCATGGAGTTGTGTAGCATGACCTTCCAAGGGACGGTCAGTACAAAATCACCTGCCACGGTAAATGTTCAAGCCTTGATAGGCGCTCACGTACCTCGATGAAGAATAGCCAAGAGTTGAGCGTCGGTGACAGTCCGATATTGAAGACTAGCAGGAAAATAAATACCACGGCCGTCAAGAGCAGCAGTAGTGGGAAGTACATGGCAAGTGTGATTACTGTCTTTCCCTTGCAATTGCGACAAATCTGGAATGGGGGAGGGAAACATATCACTACTGTAGTCTCCCTCACACCATAATGTACTCTAGGCTAATACAGTTAAACACTAAAAAGGTATGGGCATGGGCATGTGAATACAGGTGCCGCATCAAACACTTTTGATAACCTTTTACACAAGCGCTTCGGAGATAACAACTTTAATACCGCAACCAAGAGTACAAGCTGTGCAGTAACCATTCTTGTATTGTAGTAACGAACCTTCTGCTAACGTGCTCGTTACTATTCTAGTCATCCATTACCAATACAAAAATAATTATGGTTACAGCACAGTTTGTCCTCTTGGTTGCAATATTGAAGTTGTTATCTCCGAAGCGCTTGTGTAAAAGGCTATCAAAAGTGTTTGATGCGGCACCTGTATACACATACCCATACCCATGCCCATACCCAAACCCAGACCCATACCCATACCCAGACCTAGGCACTTGCCCAGTACTCTGACTAGCTGCAGGGGAGTAGCAGCCGGTCCGGCCGGACCACTTGTTCTTTAACACAATGCCAAAAGTGCCCAGAACGCAGGATTTTGCACCCTAATTTCAACATGTTCACCCCTCCGGCCGACTACCTCCAACGGCGGTGCTACGCGCCTGAGGTGCCGGTGCATACGTTTGTACAACCAACACACATGCTTGGCTTAACCATACTGGCACATACCTCAGTTCCGATCATGACCTGGTAATCCTGCTTGCACTGCGTACAGAGAACCCCAGTGCGATGAGTGTTCCTGCGACACGGCTCAGGCTTGTTCAAACTCCAATGACTCGCATCACCAGCCTTGTAGCAGAACCCATTCCAACAAGGACCCATCACAAACACCTGATGACTCTTTAGAACTTGGCATGGATCGCCGGTCCCGTTGAGGAACCTTTCACTTTCATAGTTTCTTGTGCAATCACGCTGCTGCAGTTTGGGTGATTGTAAATCGAACATTCCGGCCCAGTATCCCCGCAACACATTCATGCTTCGACCTTTTTCGCACTTTCGAATGGCGTCTTTGAATGTTTCAAGTGTGTTGGGACAGCGGCAGGACAGCTGGTCGCGAACTTGTTCCAGAGAACTTAGGTCACTGCTGGCATTCCGGATCGCTTGTTTCTGAACACCAAAATTGACACAGAAAAAAAATTTGACAGACAGGAATATGGGCATGGGCCTGAAAACCACACCGGTGTGTCAAAACATTCATATCAATATTCCACTATTCATAAGTATGTATTCTTGCTCCTTCTGTGTGGCGTAACAATCTACAGTCACATTAAGGGGGAAGTTCACCCTAAAATCAAAATTTCAGAACGTTTAGCGAAAAATCCACTGATTCCAATCGCAAAAGTCTGAGGTTGATCTGAGCAACCGTTCTGGAGTTATAGCATCTGGAAGTTTAGACTAAATTCGATGACGTCATGATGACATCATAATTTTTTCTCGTCTTTGTGCGTTTTTTCACACATACAATTGTTTTCATTTTTTGGTGTTGTGTTCTAATCATTCGCCATGCCACTGTCAATTGTATTCTGTTTGCCCGTAAAAGAGGCCTTTACTATGACATCATAATTTATGATGTCATTGAGATAAACTGATTTTTCAAAATTTGATATGGGATATATGACACCTTACTGGTATCTAAACTGGAAAAATATCCCCCAGAAAGCTTGTTGCAGCAACGAAAAACGACAGAAATTGGCTATTCACCATCTATTCCCATACAAAGTTTATCTCTGTGACGTCACAGGGATGGGCAAATTGTGACGTCATCATGATGTCACAGAATTTTGCCAAAAACTCGAAGATGCTATAACTCCGGAACGGTTGCTCCAATCAACGTGGGACTTTCACCATTGGAATCAGTGCATTGTTCGCTACAGGTTGTGAAGTTTTGATTTTAGGCTGAACTTCCCCTTTTAAGTTAAAGTACACTCTAACCTAGATGAACAAAGCAAGGGCATTGGAAAGAAGACGAGGATCTTGTGTGATAAGCGTGTGCGCAGCAGCAGTGCTTGCAGACGCAAAGGAAAACGCACAAACATACAGTCCTGTGCTGACGACAGAGTATGCACTGCCATGCAGCATACAGAGTATGCACTGCCATCATCAGCATACAGAGTATGCACTGCCATCATCAGCATACAGAGTATGCACTGCCATCATCAGCATACAGAGTATGCACTGCCATGCAGCATACAGAGTATGCACTGCCATGCAGCATACAGAGTATGCACTGCCATGCAGCATACAGAGTATGCACTGCCATGCAGCATACAGAGTATGCACTGCCATGCAGCATACAGAGTATGCACTGCCATGCAGCATACAGAGTATGCACTGCCATGCAGCATACAGAGTATGCACTGCCATGCAGCATACAGAGTATGCACTGCCATCATCAGCATACAGAGTATGCACTGCCATGCAGCATACAGAGTATGCACTGCCATGCAGCATACAGAGTATGCACTGCCATGCAGCATACAGAGTATGCACTGCCATGCAGCATACAGAGTATGCACTGCCATGCAGCATACAGACTTACAGTTTTTTTTTTTTTTTTTTTTTTTACTATGTTCACATTCCCAGCTCGAAAATAATAAGAAAGACAATGATACTGAGACTAGGACGAACGTGACAACTATTGAGCAGGGGCTGCAGCGAGACGCAGCAGTGATGGTGGGGCATTGATGGCTCTGCCGACCTGAGGTCTCGGCATCACGGCCAAAAACACGCACCAAAAACAAAAGATAGAGCTGTACGAGTCAGCAAAATGAAAAGAAAGGAAGGCCTTAAGGGTTAACACCAGCGAGTGTGCGGGAGAAACTGTGAGACTATTAACAAATTACAAGGGCTGTTACTGAGAGGAGCATCATCATGGCTGATCATGGTGAGTCGGTTGTCTGAGCCAGTTGTGGTGCATAGATAGGGATAGAGGAGAACGACGAGAGCATCATCATAGCGAGTCGACTGCCCAGAGCCAGTTTGTGCTTCGCAGATGGCGATAAACATTAGTTTTGAATGCTTTTTTTCCCTTGCTGTGGGGAGGCTGGGACAGAAGAGCGGCGGGGAGGGAGTTCCAGTCACTAATACTGCAGTGTGGGAACGAGCGCTTTAATGCCAGCGGGTCAGATGAAAGCAGCTGGTGTTGGAGCTGGTGATCATGGCCAATGACGCTAACATGCTCGCTGCGAGTTCTGGGGCTGGATGAGGGGAAATGGCGCGGTGGCAAAACAGAGAGTAGCTGCGGAGGGCCAGGCAGGTAATGCAGCTTGTATAGGCAGGCAAGCGAGGCAACAGTACGACGGATGGCCAGGCTAGGTAATAGTGCACCTGGACCGATGATTCGCAGAGCACAGCGTTGGATATGATCCAGGCGTTGCAGGTAGCTGGGCGGAGCACCTATCCAGATGAGGGGGGCATACTCCATAACTGGTCGAACAAATGCCTTGTATACTGTGGTGCGGCCGGCTGGAGAGAGAATGTGCGCTGCACGGCGCAGGAAGCCCAGGCGTTGTTTGGCTCGAGTGGCAACCTTCCGGAGATGAGTGCTGAATGACAGCTTCGAGTCAAAGGTCACTCCAAGTAAAGAGAGAGCCTTCTCCTCAAGGACAGGAGTGCCGCCGAAGACAATGCTCGGCAAATTGATGGGGGTTCTGCGGAGAGTGGCGGTCATGGCTTGGGACTTCGACGGTTCGAAGGAGATGCGCCATCTGCGGCCCCACTGATGCAAGCGATCCACAGAAGTCTGGAGGCTCAATGCTGCGTCGGCTGGGGATGTGTCGAGGGATATCAGGCTATACAAGGTAGTATCGTCGGCATACGCCTCCAGGTGGGCTCCGGGTGACAGGGTCTCTGAGGCGTCGTTCACGTAAATCAGGAAGAGTGTAGGGCCGAGTATGCTCCCTTGGGGAACTCCTGCTGATATGGTATACAGCGATGAGGTTTGGCCGCCCACCAAGCATTGAATGGACCGTCCACCTAGGTAGGAAGAGAGCCAGGTATGCAGGGGGCCGCCAATGCCAAGATGGCGGACTTTGTGGAGGAGGCCAGCATGGGACACACGGTCGAATGCTCCGGCAATATCCACGGCTAGAATACGTGCTGCACCGCCTCGTCCGACGGCTGTGATCCAGGCGTGGTGTAGAGCCTGTAGCGCATCTGAGGTCCCGAGGCGGCGACGAAACCCGAACTGGTGGGGTGTCAGGAGTTTGTAACGCTCAAGGTGATTCATGAGCTGACGATTGATAACGCTCTCCATGATCTTAGAGATTATGCTCAGCAGTGAAACTGGACGATAATTCCTTAGGGCGGATCGTGAAGATCGCTTGTGGATTGGAACCACGCTGGCAGTCTTCCACATTTGTGGCTGGACTCCGTGCTGGAAGCAAAGAGCAAAGAGCTGACACAGTGGCTTGGCAAGTTCTCTAGCGCATTCCTTCAAAACACGAGCGGAAATACCGTCGGGTCCAGTCGCCTTTGAGGCATCCAGGCGAGCTAAATGCCGGTGGACTGCATCGGGGCGAAAGTGGACTGTCGTTAGTGCAGGTGCGTCAGCGAATGCCGTGTCCGGTAAGTCCAACGTGGTTAGGTCGCGGCCTTGCACACTGCACTTGTGGGAAAAGAAACGTGCGAAAGCCTCCGATTTCTCATAGCTTGTGGCCCTCTCGCAACCTTCACTACTATCAACGAAGTATGCACTGCCATGCAGCATACAGAGTATGCACTGCCATGCAGCATACAGAGTATGCACTGCCATGCAGCATACAGTCTGACAGAGTATGCACTGCCATGCAGCATGCAGAGTATGCACTGCCATGCAGCATACAGAGTATGCACTGCCATGCAGCATACAGAGTATGCACTGCCATGCAGCATACAGAGTATGCACTGCCATGCAGCATACAGAGTATGCACTGCCATGCAGCATACAGAGTATGCACTGCCATGCAGCATACAGAGTATGCACTGCCATGCAGCATACAGAGTATGCACTGCCATGCAGCATACAGAGTATGCACTGCCATGCAGCATACAGAGTATGCACTGCCATGCAGCATACAGAGTATGCACTGCCATGCAGCATACAGAGTATGCACTGCCATCATCAGCATACAGAGTATGCACTGCCATGCAGCATACAGAGTATGCACTGCCATGCAGCATACAGAGTATGCACTGCCATGCAGCATACAGACTTACAGAGTATGCACTGCCATGCAGCATACAGAGTATGCACTGCCATGCAGCATACAGAGTATGCACTGCCATGCAGCATACAGAGTATGCACTGCCATGCAGCATACAGAGTATGCACTGCCATCATCAGCATACAGAGTATGCACTGCCATCATCAGCATACAGAGTATGCACTGCCATCATCAGCATACAGAGTATGCACTGCCATGCAGCATACAGAGTATGCACTGCCATGCAGCATACAGAGTATGCACTGCCATGCAGCATACAGAGTATGCACTGCCATGCAGCATACAGAGTATGCACTGCCATGCAGCATACAGAGTATGCACTGCCATGCAGCATACAGAGTATGCACTGCCATGCAGCATACAGAGTATGCACTGCGCAGCATACATTTGCTGCATGGCAGCACATGATTGTATGAGCCAGGGTTGAGCAGACTCTGAACAGCACTGAGGAATGGACCACCCATGCACCCCACAAGGTTGCCAAAAGCACATATAACACTGGCATACTTACGGCAACATACTCTTCAGGGATCTGTTGTGGAAGAAATGTGGGCGGGCAGTCACGGAGCTTGAATGGCAGCAGTATTTTGAATTCCCTGTCATTCAGACTTTCCGAGGTCGTCTTGCCCAGGTACTCTATTTGCAAGTGCCCAGTGCTTCCCGGGACACCTGAGATGGAAAGGCCTTTGAGCTCTGCGGTTGACGCGTAGTAGACCATAGTCGTAGGCAGGGAGACGTGCCTGTCTTTACTCAGCAGTGCATGGTCTTCTTGTACCTAACCGATTGCAGTTTACATGAACAACATCAAGTCAACAGCAACGATGCACGTGCAGCAGACTTTACACTCAAGTTCACCCAACCATGGATGACAGGGAGGAGGAAGGGTGCGATGGTTGATGCGGAGCAAAAATATCTGTTTTGGCCAATACCAAAAATTAGTTCTATTGAAAGATGGCCGGCACAGATTGGATGATCCCCAGAAATTTTAGCAGAACTTGAGGTCCTGGCCACTGGGTAGTCCTTGACACAGAAAATGAATTCCACCACAGCTGTGCTCGGTGAAATCCGACCCAAAGTGCATAGTTGGCGCCCTGAACTTGCACGGACCTTGACGCCCTGGAAGTGGTACGAATGCGGCTGGACGTGCGCATGTACACATACAGTGATGTAATGTGAACTGGTCCAGGGCGTCAGTTTCGCACTCTGGGTTGGATTTCAGTGTGCACAACTGCACAATGTACATATGAAAATATTATGGTTTACGTGAGAGTCAGTCAGACTGGCTTTTCTGCATCAGTAGGAACGCCACTGCCCTTTAAAAAGGATCACGGCACAGAAACAGAGTGCATATGGGAGCTGCGTGAGAAGATCAGCAGTCCCACCGGGACCCGCGACACAGTAGACACATACCGGTATACACGGGTGAAGCAAGAATGTCCCAATACTGGCCATTGCCGGTAAACCCAAGTTGGTGTGGCCGCGACACTTCTTTTGTCCCTGATTCATCCCGCACTCACAGTGATTCTACATTCACTGCTCTTTTTGTCGGCAGTGAGCAATGTCGTTATTGCAATGAGCATTGTACATGCTCTTACCAGGACTCCCATAGGCCCACTGAGCGTGCGCATGAACTCATCGGTGACGTCGATGTTCAGCGTGAACTGCTCGCCCGGAGCTGGGTGCAAGGTCAGATCGCCCAGCTCAGTTCCTTTGTCAATGGTGATGTTCTACGGGAGTGAAGCAGTTCGACAAGGCAAAGCGTGACAAGAACATCCAACAAGCACGTGTACACACAAGCACGTGTACACACAAGCACATACACCCATGCTGTGTTGCTTGGACTACTCTTGGCATCTCCATAGAACTCCCACAGAAAGGGGACAGAGAGGCGGGAGTCTTTAAAAATCAACGACACCTAATTTTTTCATGGTCTGAGCTGCACCTTTCTTTTACACGAAAAGTCGGGAAAATCTTCCCTGCAGTTCTTAACCCAAACATCCAGTACATACAAGCTACAAATTGAAATGGGATATGTTGCCTTCAAGGGGGGGGGGGGGGGGTCTTATCCTCATGCAATGCAGCTGCAGAAAAGTTGTGAAATAGAACTAACGTTATGCGTAGCTAAATGCAGTAGGAACCCGCATCGCGGATTTGTGCCAGGCAGTCATAAAATTACTACCCCCCATAGCCCACTCTGTGCTGTTTGGATGCACGGCGCACGACCAGACAACGCCATGCAAACAGGAATTCTACTTGCCAATATTTACCACAACGAAAATATCACCCGGCCGAGTCTGACTGTCAACGAAGTGCGAACTCCACTGTGAACGTGTCTTGCCAAACCACCATGGTATTACCCACAATCCTTTGAATTTCTTTCCCGCTCCCTTCGCCAACACTCTAATGGTTTTCTAAAACACATTCACCTGTATAAAGCGTCATGCATGCACTTTCCAACATACATACCTTTGACGGAGAACAGGCGGATGCAAAGTCTTCATGACCATAATACTTGTTCCGCTTCAAGTCCTCCAATGAAAAGTCATCCCACTCATAAAGCGTGGACGACCAAGGTGTTAGCGTGAGATTGTATCCAGGAAGGGTGGGGGCGACAGCATGGCGATAGCGGTCTCTTATGAGTGCCAAACTTAGAATGCTACAGTCGTAGCGCTGAAAACGACCAATCCTACAAAAATCCCCGTACATGCATACACACGCAGATGCACACGAACACGCACACACACACACACATGCATTTTCACACACAAACACAAACACACACACACACACTCTCTCTCTCTCTCTCTCTCTTCACTTGCACACAAGCACACAAGCACACACACACACACACACACACACACACACACACACACACACACACACATGCACACGCGTGCGCACGAATGCACACATATACGCACCCGCCAGAAAGAGATACACATGCAAAGCACCTGTTGTCATCATACCCCTGACCTTCTGCTCATCACCACTAAGTCCGGAATCCTAGCCAGTAGTCGAGATGTAGCTGTTCTCGTTTCACTATGCACATACCCTATAAACCGTAAAACTGTCGTAACTCCATTGTTGTTAGTCCTGTTGGGAATATCGTGTAGATCGAAGAGGAAGCACCAAGCTTTCCAATGGTGTAATCGCTTTTGTGATAGGAGAAACGATGCTAAAGATATGGCGATCGATAGTTGGATCGCGGCACTAAATTGTTCAAACTTTTCAAAATCAATCTTTTTGCTGCGTGCTACGGGGATTTCCCGTGGCTCACGTGGTGTGCAGCCAGCTCATGACGTGTGCGTGTAATGACATAGAATCTACTGATTCAGCTGCAAAACATCCAGAGTTGTGCGAGAAACGACTGCGAAATGGCATTGGAACGACATTTAGAAGTATTTCTTTCACCACGAGGCCCGACCTATGGCGATTTGCTGCGCTCTGGAGCAGGCTTTGTGGCATCCATGGAGTTGAGAGTGGCCTCATTCTCTTTGCAGCGGAAAGAGCGTTTCAAAGAGCCCTAGATTGCCAAAATCAAGCAAACAGAACGCAAGTTATGGTGGAAATGGTGAAGTGAACTGCAATTGCATATTTTCACGCGTTCAGTGGTACCTCAAAGGGGAAGTTAAGCCTAAAATCAAATTTTCACCAGTTGTAGTCTTCGGGGTGCTGAGTCGAATGGTCTTGGTCCGACGAAGCTGAGACGCCCCCTTCCTTCGTTATTCCCACTCGAACTCGCGCACTTCCACCGAAACTGGGTGACTGCGCCCTACCAGATGGGGATTTGTATGCAAAATGTCACTAAAAGCGCCATTTCGTTCTTATAAAAGCATGGATGACCGCGATTGGCCAATATGTTGTCGTCTTTTGGACGCTGCGCCGACTGGTTTTGGTCCGAAAAGCCTGCGATGCAGCGTCCGGCCCTTATTCCCAATCGAACATGGCTGAACAAGCGGTCACGTGCTCCTGCGTACACCAGTCACCTGGTCATCACGACAGCAGGCGAAAACTTTCACACCAAGGTTCAACTCAAAGGTTCAAAGGTTCAACTCGAGTGACAGAAACTCACCCAAACATGCTGTAAGTTGTAGCCTGCTGGCATGGTGACCAGGTGACTGGTGTACGCATGAGCACGTGACCGCTTGCTCAGCCATGTTCGATTGGGAATAGGGCCCGAACGCTACATCTCAGCCTTTTCAGACCAAAACCAGTCGACGCAGTGTCCAAAAGACTACAACATCTGGGCCAATCGTGGTCATCCGTGCTTTTATAAGAACGAAATGGCGCTTTTAGTGACATTTTGCATACAAATCCCCATCTAGTAGGGCGCAGTCGCCCAGTTTCGGTGGAAGTGCGCGATTTCGATTGGGAATAAAGAAGGAAGGGAGCGTCTCAGCTTCGTCGGACCAAGACCATTCGACTCAGCACCCCGAAGACTACAACTGGTGAGAATTTGATTTTAGGCTTAACATCCCCTTTAAGGCAGGAATCATTCATGCCATCATCGCAACATCCGGTGCAGGCAAAGATGGTTGAAAATGTGTTGCAAAAACTGCAGTTCTCATGTGCAACACCCACGCGTATTACCGCATAGTGAGTGTTCACGGTTGTGATCAAACTGCAATACTTCTTTCAAGAGAATAGACATGCTCTCGGATAACTCAGGGCTAAATCTCACCGGTTTCTGAAGGCTTTTGCGACAATAGATTCTCGCTTGCATGCCTTACTGAAGTGCCAGATGCGGTCAGCGAGAGTCTTGTAACACCTTGTTGACGACGACTTGAAGAACATCCATGCAGGGGCCATTTTCACATTCCTGGTCAAGAGATTCAACCCGTTGACAACTGTTATGCGCTGGCAACGGCTGTAGCAGACTTGGTTCTGATCAACAAAGGACCAGTTACCTGACATGCAATTACAACAAAGAGACAGAGCAGACAGCAAATGGGCATGGATGCTGCATGGCGGAAGGAGTGCTCTTAAACACTGCAAACCGTGTGGCACGCTCATAATATATTATCTTCAGAATAAAACCAATGCTACAGTGCTGAGATTTATCGATATAATTATTTATATCAGGTGTGTATGCTATCCAGGCAGCATAAATTGAACGCCATTCCCTTTGGTCATATCATTATCAGTGTCGTGCAATATTATCGCATGAGCTGATTGTCAAGTAACTGGTGGTATTAGTGGACAGTACAGTGTAACTCGTAATTTCTTGGTCCTTTTCTTTCCTGTATCTGTAAATGAAGCATTTTTTTAGGGATTATGCTGAAGTACACCCTTGGTAACATCCCTGGCTACACTCCCTGGCTACACTCCCTGGCTACACTCCCTGGCTACACTCCCTGGCTACACTCCCTGGCTACACTCCCTGGCTACACTCCCTGGCTACACTCCCTGGATATAACATTAAAAGGTGAAGGTATAAGGGTTACACAGAGGCGCTTAGATTTGTCATACGAACGCAGATGCCTGTGTATACGTGTGGACATGTGTCCATAGGTGTGTGTATATGCGTGTGTGCGTGTGTTTGTGCGTGTGCGAGTTAGGGTGTTGTGGGTGGGTGGGTGTCCTGTGTGTGCATGCGCCCGTGTGCAAGTTAGGGTGTTGTGGGTGAGTGTATGTGTGTGTTAGTGTGTGCGTGTATGTGTGTGTGGGTGTTACTATGTGTGTGCGTGTTAGTATGTGTGTGTGTGTGTGTGTGTGTGTGTGTGTGTGGTGTGTGAGCGACATTAAGCGCGTACTTGTTAGTGCTAGACCTGCGCCTACTGCATCTGCCTCTGAAATAGCCCGTCCCTGTATACATTCACGCGATTACTCCTCTCGCTATCGTATTATCACACCTCTCTCCACTTAGATATACCAGCGCTGCCTCCTATTCCATTATCGTTGTCTGATGATTGGTTCAGCCATGAAATTCGGAGCCACAACGGAATAAATTTGCCAAGGTTTTCATTGTGCTTTGGGTATAAGGGTTACTCCATATTACGATAATGGCCATTCAGTCTTGAGCTTTTCGGAGCGGCAACTAAGGGGCCATCCGTAATTATCGATCTTTTTCACGAAGAGAAAAAGTTTCGTTCATGGGTCCGGGTGCACCGGTGGGTGGGTTGAGGAGAGTTGCGCTATGAAAAAACATTGATAGCTGAAACATCAGTACATTCTAGCTGTCAAGTCACTATATTTTTCATTCATGGGGGTGGGTTACGTGGGTGGGGGAGGGTCAAGACTAAACTGTTTTGTTTCGTGAAAATTATCGATAATTCCGGATGGCCCCTAGGAGGCCCGGGGCCGTCCGTAAATATCGAACTTTTTTCTCCAAACGCATTATTTTACTTTAGACACAACCCCTCCCTCCCTCCCCTCAGAACGTAAAGAATGTGGATATGTACATAATTATATTATAAATATTTTCTGAAACGAAATTGGTCAACCCCCTCCCACCCCATAACGAAATGATTAAATTTTTGTTTTGTGCTATTGGACTCGGATGGAGAGCCAAGGATTAATTTATAAAAAAAGAAAAAGGACCAAGGAACTACGAGTTACGCTATAATGTCCACTAACGCCACCAGTTACTGAACAATCAGCTCATGCGATAACATTGCACGACACTGACGTTCTACAACTAACTGGCTAGCAGCTCTAGCACATCTTGGATGCGTGTTCCAACAGCCTTCCAACTTGGAAGGTTCTAAGTTATAGAAATAACATCAGGAGGGGAAGGTTCCTTGGTCCTTTTTCTTTTTTGTGTTATTGCGATATAAAAATTTGTGGAAATATTCGACATAAATTTTATAGATGACCCTAGGTCAGTGATGTCCATTGTATGACAAACGGTGTTTCTTATAATAAAGAAAAAGGACCAAGAAACTACAAGTTATGCTATAATGTCCACTAACATCCGGGTGTTTTTTATGTTGGTTGTCATTAGTTTCCTTGCTGTCCTTTCCTCCTCTGAGGAAGCCGGGTTTTCGAGGACTGGCTCAGTGGACTTAGGAGCGGTTGAAAACATGCAAGCCAGCACTTATAGAGGACTCATGATTTGTTGTTGTTGTTGTTGTATTCTTTTATTTCAATTCACTCAGGGCACAGGCAATACTGCCTTCTCACCGAAGAAAGGATTCTCTGATTCCTACCAAAAACGAGAAATCTGCGATATGATTTCTCGTTTTTGGTAAGAATCGGAGAATCCTTTCTTCGGTGAGAAGGCAGTATTGCCTGTGCCCTGAGCGAATTGAAATAAAAGAATACAACAACAACAACAACAACAACAACAACAACAACAAATCATGAGTCCTCTATAAGTGCTGGCTTGCATGTTTTCAACCGCTCCTAAGTCCACTGAGCCAGTCCTCGAAAACCCGGCTTCCTCAGAGGAGGAAAGGACAGCAAGGAAACTAATGACAACCAACATAAGAAACACCCGGATGTTAGTGGACATTATAGCATAACTTGTAGTTTCTTGGTCCTTTTTCTTTATTATGATTTGAACCCGCAGCCATTCTTTCATCAGACCATTGTACTAAGCAGTAGACCGGAGTGCACCGTCGCATGACTCTGAATACCCAAGTCCACCTTGCTTCCAGTGCATTGAAGGGCAATCATAGAATAATGAATACAAGTATGCATGCTTTGAAAACACACACACACATACACACACACGCATGCACACATGCCCCCCCCCCCCCATTCTCTCTCTCTCTCTCACTCGCACATACATACACACACACACACACACACACACACACACACACACACACACGCGCCAAAACACATCCTAACATCATCCTAATCATCACAGCTAGTTATCACTCACTTGCAGGGCCAAGGCTGGAGTAGGCCTCCTTTCTATCCTTGCATTGCTCGTGCAAGGATCCATGTCCCTGCAAGCCAGGCGGGCTAGGCGGGTTAGCGAAAGACCAGTCTGCCGGTGGATACGGTGGACAGTAGAGTCTCTCTGTATAGTCCAAACTACGCCCACGGGCGCTGTGTTTAGTGACCGCAAGAGTACCAAAACAATGGTTCCAGCTTGAAGAGTAGATTGATTCCTTTTGCTCATACGGCAAAATGGAAATCCCAGCAGGAATGGACTGTTTGGGCCCCGGGCATTGCCAGAAGTCAAATTGAGCATCGCGAGAAGCGCCATTTTGATTCAGAATATCCTTCAAATTTGTGTTCAAACAGATGCACAACACAAAATTAATGTAAAGTACATGACATTATAATGATGGAAATTGAAACTCAAGGGAATTCAATTAATTTCCAAAAGGGAGTGTTGTGACTTTGGCTCTAGCTGGGGAAAGGCCGGCTCTGACTTGAGAGATGTTAGCTGCTCCCAATCTGGAGAGAAGTAATTTCCCCACATTTGAACTGATACTTTCTTTCACATTTGGTGAGTGGAAGGTTCGCCGGACAGCCTCGCTTTCTGCTCCAGAAGGCAGTTGTCGGCTGGTGTCAGTCGAATTGGCCAGGCTAAGCGGCAACTGTATGCTTGCGGCTACCAACTTGATCCTCTTAGCTCTCTGCCCCTATACCGTGTTTGGGCTATTGAACAAATGAACAAAACCCTCATTTTATTCAACCCAGAAAGAGTTTCGAAAGCTCATGTTTGATCCGGTTTCCGGCACTTCCAGCAGTTGTAATCTCAGCAATTGTATTGTGCTGGAATATTGAAAGTTTTTGAAACTACTTTGAAACTTAATTTCGAGAAAAGAGAGAATTGAGAAGGCACGTCGATGCCTGCTCGAATAATAGTAAATGCCCCGAGATGTCCAGAGAGACACCGGAGCAGTGTAATGTGTAGATGCTAATTTTGAACTTACCCGACCTCAACTCACGCCACATCCTGAACTCAATTCATTGCAAATAGTGTCTCTAAGATTTCAGAGAAAGCAGGTCATGTGCCAACTTTTGCAGCTTAGAGAGCGTGTGTTGGCAGGCGTGTGTTTACCGCCATATTGCCAGGTGTGTATTTACCACCATATTTATCAACCATGTGCTAACTTTCTTCCAAATCCGAGACCATTTCCAAGGAATGGTGAAGATGTACGTGCCTATTGCATATGTATTGAAAGTGTAGAAAAAACTGGCGTCTAAAAAGGCACGACCTGTGGATAATGCTCAAGGCATTGAGCTGTGTACAGTAGAGTGTGCAGAATCTCAGTTCTCCTTACCCATGCTGAAGACGCATGCGGGGAGATGTAAGACGGAAACTGGATAGGACAGGAGGATCTGTTGTGGTCATTCCCGATGAAAAAGAGGAACTTATCGTGGGGAGTCAACGATGAAGCGGCATCAAAATACATGGCACCGCCATGTGTCAACGCGTTGTTCCTCTTGAGGGTGAAGTGCACCACCTGAATGTAAGGAGAGGTGAGAGCAAAGGTGATGAGCACCACGCATAAGTGACAGACTGTATACTTCTGAAGTACGTGTAGAGCCCAGAGGGGTTTATGAAGGATGTATGGCATGCACAAATACCCCCCCCCCCCCCCACACACACACATGTACCCCCCCCCCCACACACACACAGTGTCAAACACACACACACACACACACACACACACACACACACACACACACACACACACACACACACACACACACACACACACACACACACACACACACACACACACACACACACACACACACACACACACACACACACACACACACACACACACACACACACACACACACACACACACACACACACACACACACACACACACACACACACACACACACACACACACACACACACACACACACACACACACACACACACACACACACACACACACACACACACACACACACACACACACACACACACACACACACACACACACACACACACACACACACACACACACACACACACACACACACACACACACACACACACACACACACACACACACACACACACACACACACACACACACACACACACACACACACACACACACACACACACACACACACACACACACACACACACACACACACACACACACACACACACACACACACACACACACACACACGTGTGATTGAATCATCATTGGCTTCGCCGACCTTTCTAAAGTCCATTTTTCCGCCCGCAGCTATGTGCAGTCCACCACCATTCAGCCCAACATTGTCTGTTATAGAAACATTCCCTTCAAGCTCCAGCTTAGCAGCAAGTGCAACCAGGCCTGTACCGCATGTTCCATGCACCAGCCTGTGAACATGGGCAAAAAGTGTAGCAGAGAAAGGTAGCAATCGTACAAGTAATCAGGTGTTGACACTGCAGATGCTGCACAAGCTCAATGCAGCAGTACCCACCTCTTCAGTGGCAGCTGGCATGAGTAACCGCAGATAATCATGCCCTCGAGGCTCGCGTCTGGATAATCAATTAATCATAGCCAAGTATGCGGCTTTGTCCAGGTGTACGAAATACCGTAGGCCACGGTGTGCATGTCCAGTTGGTGTTCATGTGTGCTATACATGCGCGTGTGCTATACATGCGCGTGTGCTATACACTCAAACGTCTCTTATCCGGACGCCTCATATACGGGCACGTCTCTCTACCGGGTACCTTCAGCTTGAGTTCCTATGGCAAAAATGCTTGGAATTTGGGGTGTTTGAACTTTTTTCGTATGCGCAAGTGCTTTTTTGTCACTGCCAATCTGTGAAATCCACACATTTTTAATAATGGATTCTTTCTCTAACCTGAACATGTGCAATACGTGCCAAATAAACTTCTTCAAAAATTGATATGATACATGGTAAATGAGTTATTCTGAGACACGGGCAAATCTGAGATACGGGCAGTGCCCGGTCCCAAGGTGTCCGGATAAGAGACGTCCGAGTGTACATGCGCATTGCTATACATGCGCATTGCTATACATACGCAGTGCTATACATGTGCATTGCTATACATGCGCATTGCTATACATGCGCAGTGCTATACATGTGCAGTGCTATACATGCGCAGTGCTATACATGCGCATTGCTATACATACATGCGCATTGCTATACATGCGCATTGCTATACATGTGCAGTGCTATACATGTGCAGTGCTATACATGTGCAGTGCTATACATGCGTAGTGCTATACATGCGCATTGCTATACATGTGCAGTGCTATACATGCGCAGTGCTATACATGCGCATTGCTATACATGCGCATTGCTATACATGTGCAGTGCTATACATGCGCATTGCTATACATGCGCATTGCTATACATGTGCAGTGCTATACATGTGCAGTGCTATACATGCGCATTGCTATACATGTGCAGTGCTATACATGCGCATTGCTATACATGTGCAGTGCTATACATGCGCAGTGCTATACATGCGCAGTGCTATACATGCGCATTGCTATACATGCGCATTGCTATACATGTGCAGTGCTATACATGCGCAGTGCTATACATGCGCATTGCTATACATGCGCATTGCTATACATGCGCATTGCTATACATGTGCAGTGCTATACATGCGCATTGCTATACATGCGCATTGCTATACATACGCATTCGACCACTTTAGCCCAACAATCAATGGACGACAATCGCTTTTCCAGCTCCACCACTTTGGACAGAGCTAAAGACTGACTAGATCGTTACCCGGAGAAAGCTGTCATTCGAAATGCCTTCAGGGCACGTTCCGTAGCTGAAATAGCAGTAAACGCAATAGGGTCCTGGACATTCAACACCCCGCCAGGTCTGCGCGATTCTACGGTATTTCGTTCATCTGTAAACGTGCATAAGTCCAGCTCCTATACCGCTTTGTGTGATGGAAAAGCAAATCTCCCCTCTCCTGGTTAAGCTGCAGATCTACTTGGCCTGCTCAGACTGTTACAGTACAAGACCATAATAATTATAATTTCATCAGAGGGTGCAGTAACTGAAAACTCCAACTCACGTTGTACCCAGGAAACCAGTGTGAACTGCACGTGAGCAAACTGCGCCGAATCCGGAGTTCTTCAGGAAAGACGAGTTGACTATGGCAAGGGGATAGAGGTGGTTAGCACCAAGCCAGACATCCTTGCCAAGGTCTGGGGCCGAGGTGAATGACCCATACTGACCAGATATTGCCATCACGGCACCGCCAGGTGATCGTTGGTTACTTAGCCTTGAGCTGACCCAGTTCTCTAGAAAACGGCACTTGTCAATCATGACGGCATTCCTCCTCTGACTATACTGGCTGAAGTGGATGAGGACAGCTCCGCCAACCTGGCTTGCCGAGTTATTGTGGAATAGGCAATCTTTTACAAGCACGCTGTTACCAGCTACTGCATCGTCAAACTTGACTGATAGTGCGCCGCCTGCCATCCCCCGATTCTGAAGGAAGTTGCATCCACTGATGACAATGTGATGGCGGGTGTTGCAGGAAAGCTGCATCGATGGACTTGAGGGAGAACTGGTGCTGTTTCCTGGCTGGCCACTGTTGAAGTGAATATTGACGGCAGAGCCCTCGGGGCTTCTAGTATGCTTAATGTTGCTGTTCTTGATAAAGGCCACATATGGGCCAATGGCAGGTGAGATTGAAAACTGCACGCCACTGCCTTTGTGATAGCGCATCTTAATAGTGACCTGTGCCAGAGTTGGAGGTACGATCCCCAGCCCATTGATGGAACACTGGATGAACGCAACACCGAGCCTCAATGGAAGACACCCATCAGCCGGTGGCCCCAGTGTGCGATTATCTCGGAAGGACTTGAAGCGAGACATGGTCGCATTGAGAAGCAGCGTTGAGTTCGTCTCTTCATTACCGACAATCCAGGATTCGTCTTGGGCGGTCATTTCATGTACATGGACACGTGTGAAATTGCCCAGTGGCTTCTCAATCACAACAATCGGTGTTAGCATCTCATTGACTCGGTGCCATTCATTTCCTGGCCACACGGGATTGCGGCGTTCTGGCTGTACGGTCAATCTGCTCAAGAAGACAAATTGGCTGGACACGATTTCAAGTGCATGCACCCCTGCCCATGGCCCTTCCAGCTTGAGTCTACACCGCTCCAGCTTCACGAGTGTGCTATTCACGATGCTCAGAGCCATTGTGCTCATGTTCACATTGAACCTGAGGCGGCGCAGAGTGATCCGGTGGGCCGAGTCCAGCTGAATCAGTGCCTTAGAATGAGGTGTCAAGTTGTCAGAATAGAGGCTTACGACTGTATAGGTACAGGCGGCTATGGTGCTGTTGACGGCAGTGGAAATACTCAGGTTGCTTGACTCGGTCCCCAGAATGATGCCCGGACAGTGGGCGCAATGCCTGATGGGAATATGGCATTTACTAGATTTCTCTGGGTGAAGAACAATGGATGCTGGTCTCGCCCTGGGATAGACCCGTTGCGCATGCACTGCCTGGATGGCCGACTGGATAGAGTGGTGCGTGGAGGACATGGATGAGCTTGATCCGTTCAAGCAGTCACACAGCCTGCTGCTCTGACGCCCCGCTGCCGCTGGGAAGACATGAATCGTCAGAACTGGTCCATTCTCTGCTGTGAATTGCCCTGAAATGGTCGCATTGAAGCAAAAGCAAAGCAGCAGAGAAATGCAGCAGACAAACTGTGCAACGATTGATGACATACTGATGTGTGCTGAAATGTACTATACAGCAATGGCTCGCAAATAGCAGTTCCCTAATCTAGGTCCTGCCGTGTATCTACTTCGAAGTAGCAAACTGTCATTCTCTTCAACTGAAAGATCCGTCTTTCAGCCTGAGCCACTTTGGTCACTTTGTTCTCCCTTGGGTGGTCACTAGCGGAGCCACTGAGTCAGCTAGGTTTTGGCTTGAGCTCCAAGCATATATGCTCACTCCAGCACGGTTTGGCTCAGAGTTATTGGCTGCGCGACAAGGCCACACGTATCATCAGGTTTCCTCAGAACTGCTAGTTCAAAGATGAGATGTCAAAGATGCACAAACTGAGCATTGCCATGCATGGTGCCGGGTGAAAGGAAATACACATGCAGCTGAACTCTGGACACAAGGCGGTTGGATCAGATTACGACACTTGGCAATGGTTGGTTGAACACTTTGCAGCAGCTTGAATAGGTGGCATTGACCTGATCCTACAAGGAATTTGAGGCATGATCCACAGGTTTGTTCGTGCACTGTTAGGGTGAAGATGAATAATTATTCATATTTAAAGATCCAGGGGGCAAAAGCACCACAATGACCAAGCAACAGACATAATACGCAAAGGAGTCTACGACATCGTCGCGTATGCGTTTTATGGAATGACAAACCAGTACTGCTGATACTACTATTTCCAGTGATGTCATGATGATGAAAATGATGATGCAATCGATGGCTACTTGCTTACAACAGTCGCCAGTCGGGTTAGATGGGGGGGGGGGGGGGGGGCACTTGTATCAGTAGTACTGACTGTTACCCAATCTGGGTCGTCCAAAATGTGCACGCGCCAAACTGTATCCGCTACAAGCTTAGTTCTAAATAGCTAGTCATTGATGATTTCATAGTATAATACAGTCGTTCCTCTCTAATCCGGCACCTTTTGCAACGGCATTTTCTGCTGGATAAACAAGGGTGCTGGATTATCAAATCCTGCCCTCCAACCCGGCCCACATGTTAACATACATGTTTGTGTCGTACGTCAAAACGTAGGGATTTTCTGTGTAGGGATTTTCTGTGTCAATCCAAGTACTTTGTGGAATGCATGTCTATAACATACACTTGCCGGGAATATCCTATGCATTGGCATAGGATATTCCCAAGTGTATGTGACATGTGTTGTGTATGTTACAATGGTCCCTGACAGAAAATCGAATTATGTACAGTTTGAGTGATTTGTTGCAGAATATCGCTGCTGGAGGCGGAATTCAAGTGCCGGATTAAAGCGTAGAAAATGAACTGAAAAAATCCGTTTTGCCAGAAAGTGTGCTGGTTTGCAAGGGTGCTGGATAAACAAGTGCCGGATTAGAGAGGGACGACTGTACTATTATTATACACAACAGTAATACCTTACAAGGCGTTTACTGGGCTGCCTTTGTGCGGCTTCCTTTCCTCTCAGTCTTACTCCAGGCCCTGGTGTGAAACCGTTGAAAGATTTAAGAGCACTCTGACCAGAGTGCAACACATACCTGCCGGAATGATCATTACACTGAGTAGGTTTGACGAACTCTTTTATCTTCTCTTTGCCTCAATCACTCTCGATCTCGCTCACTCGCATGAACTCACGTACGTATATCTACCCGGACACACACGCACCCACGCACGCGGGAACGCACACAGTCCTACAGTTTTCAACTTTTAGGTACAAAAATGGCATTGTGCGAAGATCGATTCCCACAACTCACCAAAACTTCGGCAAAAGCATTGTGATGGCGGCTGCAGTGCTTTCGCAAGCAATCTTCCGTCCGCAGTGTTACACAAACTAGTACCTCTTGGGGCATCCGAGCGTGCTGGACAGAACGTGAGAGCAAGAGTCGTAGAGGTCCACGCGCAACGAGCGACGTCGCATATCTCATGCCGATGACACCAACAAACACCGCCACTGCTCTGGGCCAGCACGCACCTATCTAGCCGATCCGTTGTTTGTACCGAAGTTTTGGAGCAAGACTTTTTCGACTCTACGAAAACTATCTTGTCATGTTCCGTGCGGAGGCTACTGTCTGTATTCCATGGTATTCAGTGTGCTTCACCATGTTCACCGCGATGTGGGAAATCCACATGATTGTTGACATGTTGTACGTGGACTTCGTATACCTTTCACCAGTTGAGTCTAAAATCTAGTACTAGTGCTTGCCAGTGATCATGGTGATTTCTCACCTCGAGTTTTCACTTCCACTACAGCAGACTCGTAGTCGTAGCATAGCAGCGGATAAGCCGCTTTAATTTTTTAAGCGCGCCTGGAGAGCCCCTCAACAAGGCTAATGCCAAATGCCGTAGTGGACTTGAACTGGAAAAATATCCCGTCGCCAAAACAATACAAGTGTACATGAAATTAGTTATCTCTGGGACACTGTTGTCTTCTTTGCCTTCTTGTTTTGTACCTGATCTTTCTTTTTCTTTTTTTTCTCGACACAAAGTTCTGCATAGTACAGGTACACAATATTCTACGTAATAGGTGCCTTCTCTGTCTCTGCCTCTGTCTCTGTCTCTCTTTCTCTCTGTCTCTCTTTCTCTGTCTCTCTGTCTGTCTGTCTGTATCTCCCTCCCTCCCTCCACCCTCCCTCCACCCTCCCTCCCTCCCTCCACCCTCCCACCCTCCCTCCCTCCCACCCTCCCTCCCTCCCTCCCTCCACCCTCCCTCCACCCTCCCTCCCACCCTCCCTCCCACCCTCCCTCCCTCCCTCCCTCCACCCTCCCTCCACCCTCCCTCCACCCTCCCTCCCAGTACTAGACCGACTACTAACATCATGATGTAAAGTAAAATGATAATCTTTATTTCAGGATTACCCAAAAGCTAATGCCTATCTGGGGGATCTCCTATTATGTACATGTACGCCTTTGTTTATTTAGTTGCCGGCTGTGATTTGCTAGTACTACTACTAGTAGTGACTGGGATCAAGAATTGCCCTACGGTAAGCAGGCGTTGACTTTGGATTCTTCTACATGTACATGTATTCCTCTTTCCGGATAATCATGGACTTTTCAAAAATGTTCTTTGACTCTTTGAGTACAATGGACTGCCTGTAGGTCTACACAGTGTAGCAGCTAGCGAACTACATAACATGCAGTCAGTCAAGGTAACACATGGTAAGGGGGGGGGGGGGTCAATTATATAATAATCTTTATTTCAGGATTACCAGACGGTAGCAGTGCATGAAAATAAATAATTATCATGCATGGTGTCTTCTCAGACTCGACTAGGACAGTAGGAGTCAGCCGGGTAGATCTACACTACAGGGTGCAACTGAATCGTCGCCACCTGCTAGGCCATGGCGCTAGGTCATCGCAACCAGATCAGTGTGCACCTGGCTGATTTCTTTCAAGCAGGTCCACAGCACCCGTATGCTGACCCTGTTGACACTCTTGTTGTATCGGAAGGTCACATCTTGCGTGCCTAATTATCAATAAGAAATAGTTTTATCATGTCCCTTCCTTGCCAGTGGGCGTCTGGTGATCATTGTTTGTTTTGGGTTTTTTTAATGTACTTGTATCATCTATCAACGAAAAGCAAGCGTACAGTAAAGACCCTTCTAAAGACCTGGTGCACAATTTAGATCTACGAGTTACACCGTGTCTCCGGTCTCCTCACAGTAGTCAAGTACATGTAGTAGCAACACTTTTGTCATGACCGCGGCGGGAGGGGCTCAGGATCTCCTAGGTTCGTTCTGGAAATGATCTACCGGGAGTCCAGGTACTACTACTAGTACTAGTGCCCGTTCTTGTGCTTTGGAATAAAAGAACTAACTAATATCACGTGATCCGGAAAGGTGAATAGAAAAATCCAAAGACATGCCCATGCATTCTTGTACTGCTGTGATAAGCATGACAAGCTGTTTTGTCCGTGACTAAGCAAAACTGGCTCCAAGGCTACCGCAATCCAGGGTGCGCAAGTCACGTCAACCTACAACCAGCTGTCGAGTTCCAGGCAAAGCCAGTGCGCATGTAACATCGTTGGCCGGTTTTCAGCATTCTGACTCTTAAGTTCTGTGCAGAGGTCGTGAGTTTTCACGGTATTATACAATACATGACTGCACAATGTCGGGATTGTAATATGGCTCCATTGTCCACCCAGTTGTCAGTTGTCATTTCAACAGACTGCTTGATTGTCACTGCTAGTGCAGTACCATCCCAGCATCCCAGGCCCGTAGACACTATCGTAATTCCTTTTCCATCTGAACTCCTCTTTGATGTTCTCTTTTCGTTCTAGCTATTCTCTTCACTTGTTACCTTCTTGCCATTACATGTATTCCCTGATGAGTGGGGCTTTGCATAAATCATGGAGACACCATAATAATTATAATACTAGATCTAGAGGTCGGGCTGCAGTTAAAGGGGAAGTCCGGTGAAAAATTTAAATTTCACAGTCCGTAGAGTTCGGGGCGCTGAGTCGAATGGTCTTTGTCCGAGGAGGCTGCGGCTTATGGTTCGTCAGATACGCCCAATCGAACATGTGCGAATTTGAGCGCGCATCACCCAGATCCAGGTGATGACGTCACAGCGTGCAGCCAGGTAGCCACACCATCTAGTTGTGTACAAAAATGGCCATATTCGGAGCGCGTTCGATTGGGGAACCGTTTATCGCAGCTTCTTCGGACCAAGACCATTCGATTCAGTGTTACAAACACTACGTACTCTGTGATTTTCAGCTCGGTAAACCTGGAGGTTATACCGTATTTTAGCCGTTTCCGAGTTAGACTTTTCCGTTGGCCCATCTACATCATGGTCTATGCGCTCTGCGCTGCGTGCATGCAGTGCGTGCAGTGTCTTATCTAGCTAGCTGTAGTGCATGCAGTCAACAAACTCATGTCACAACTGACACAAGACTCAGAAAACTAGTCAACACACGGACTTGTCATGTACTACACTCGTATCAGTCGTATTGTACAGTCATGTAGGCAGAGAACGTGCGTTTCTCCTTGCCGGTGCGGGTGGTTGTGCTTTGAGAAAGAAAATTTTAGTTTTCCGCACCCGCGGCGCCTCATTATTTTATGCTACAGCGATGAGTGCACAACCGTGACAAGTGACAAAACAGCGAACAGCTCTCGGACCTAGAACTTTCAGATTCCATAGCGTTGCGAGTGAAGAGTCGTGCCCGTGGTTCAAAGAGCCTGCACTGTTCTCCAATTGAGTAGTCCGAAATATTCCAAGTTCGCACCAAAACATCACCATGTGGCAGGCTACTGGAGTCTAAGCGAATCTAATCGGTATGGAACAACATTTAGAGCACTCGCATCACTCTTCTCCATTTTGGCGACCCTGCTCTCCAGCGATCTGATAATTACATCAGCCTCGTCTGCAATAGCTGCTGCTTCTTCATCAGTCGGAAACTCAGTAGCGCTCACTCTTGACCGGCCCGCGCGGCCATTCCTTCAGCTGACTACCGAGGTTCTCAGCCCCAGACCGAACTCATGAAGGTCAGCCATGGCTGTATCCTCACTCTCACAAGGAGTTACATGTCTTCGGGGTCGCTTGCACCACCTATTATCAGTCGCCAAATCATTTGAAATAGCACTGACACTATTGCTTTCACGCACTCCTTTTGACCTAGCTGCACGCTATGACGTTGCAGAGGGTGTGGCGCGGCCGCATGACGTCATGGCGCAGCCCCCGAAACTCAGTTTTTCAAACGGAAATATCTCGAGAACGCTTTGTCGGAGACACGTGGGACCAACACCATTCGACTCAGCGGCCGAAACTCTACAGACCCTGAAATTTAAATTTTTCACCGGACTTCCCCTTTAAGTACATGTACATGTCCTGAGTTAGGGGACGATCAAGGTGAGATGGTTGCTCCTACGCTAACACACACTTCCTGCCGAACTTGACACTTCACTGACTCACGACTGCCATTCGGAACGCACACAAGGAGCACATCTGACCTGTGCACATGTAACTGTGTCCTAAGTACGGTAAGTCTTTCCGTGATGATCCAATCGGCAAACCTCCAGGGATTCCCTGAACTTTTCAAAGCACCACTCCATGCTCAATAGTGGGGTCAATACCAGGGAGGATACGACTCCCTGGTCAATACACAGTGTTTGGGAGCACTCCTCATCAGTTGGGCTTGAGAAGTTGAGTAGGCTGGGGAAGATTGTGTCTAAAACGCACCACTTACATGTACATATTAATTATTATAGCTGCTACCTGGGACCTGGCGAGGTGTTTGTCGCGCAGGAAATGGAGTGTGACTGTCTCGGTAAGTTTGTATCCCTGGTGTCCAGTGGTGATGGTTTGGCCTGGAAAGCACAATAATACATGTACATGTAGGTGGTTCTTCTGCCCCACTGTCTGGTTATTTCTGTGGTGGTCTTTCTGTGGTGGTCTTTCTGTGGTGGTCTTTCTGTGGTGGTCATTCTGTCGTGGTCATTCTGTCGTGGTCTTTTCCTTCCTTCCGTACTGCTCACTCCTTTTGGCTTTTCTTCACCAGTTCCTTTTCCTTGGTCGACCCAGTCACGTGGTAATACGCTTAGCAGACTCGAGATCATTAGCGTCGGTTTATCGTGTTGCACTTCCTACCGGTATCCACCCGGCACACCCGACACAGCCCGAGCAAACAAACTGTGAGGGTGACCGGAACCAGCCACGTCCATCGTCCATCCTGACACCGTCATGGGTCTCGTCCCTACTTGCACTAACGTAGACTGTGACCCAGGCCCTGGTGATACATGTACAATAGACTCAATACTCATAATTATGATCATGTACGTGTACAGTGAAACCTGCAAAGGCGACCACTCGGATAAGGCGACCACCTGTCCTAGAAGGCCACTGAACCAGGACCAAGGGATGCTATTTCCAGTCAAATGACCCTGCATAAGGAGACCACCTGGTAATAGAGACCACGTTTTGAAGGTCCCTTGAGCGGTCGTCTTAGACAGGTTTCACTCTACATGGTCTGCATTATGTTAACTTATAGTGTGTGGTTCTTCTACTTCACTCTTCAGTAGTGCTGCGTCTCGAGCTCCTGTCATCGGTTGAGCCTCGCTTCCCTTTGTCTTTCCCCATTTTACAAACAGAACGACCATCATGGCATTGGCAATTGGCATTCATAATGCAATGCGTTCGGACCATGGGACCATGTCCTTGTCGACTCCTTGTCCTTGACCTTGGACATCATCATGACACAATCATGACACGCCGTGATCCTGATGTGACGCGCTACATGTAGCTAGCGAGCTCTATGAAACACGTGAGAAATATCAACACTCACCTGATCACGCTGACCTGTGCATGTGACCATGCAGCATGCGCTGCAGGCCTGGTAGCTAGCTCTTCGGTCGCGACCGGTCCGCGCAGTTGGCGCGCGGCTTGTCCGCACTCAGCGCACTGGCTCGTGCCGTGCCACTCGATCGACTCCACCCCATATGCTGGCGCTGAGTCCACTGTCTAGATTGTGCTGACTCCTGGATGAACGGAATGGATGAAGGAGGAATTGAGACAATTTGAGTATTTCAATGGATTCAATTGGAGGACCACTTACTTTCTGCGAGTCCAGTTGCGTGGTCCCATTACACGTAGTTTTGGTGTCAATATGTGAGCCTTTCTGAAAGCTCTGCTGTCATGTTCTCCTCGCCTTGCAATAGAATCATAAAATTTAGTGTTACATTGCTCTGCTACATGTGCTAGCATCGGTGTCATTACTACATCAGTCCTACTGCGAGTGTATTGTGCATGTTTCAACTTGCCCACGATCAGAAAATAGTTTCCCGTGCGTCTCGAGTTCGTTTCTTGATTCTGGTTTGAATCTGTTTGCGGCGAAATTCTATTCTCCTGGAGGTACATGTTATATCTATCTGAATGCTGGAATGCTGTTCAAGTGTTGATGGTATAACAACTAGTCCTAGTAGTATTACAGCAACGCGCTGAAAGCGTGATGGCAGAATCTCGAGACGATTCTTCGTCGTCATCGTCCTCATCAAGTCAACAGGATGTCGAGAACGACGGAAACAATGAAAACAGGATCAAATTTAGAGGTGAGAAAGTCACTGACTCTGAGAACAACAGTTTATTTTTAAAGTACAGTGTAATACACGTACGTTGGCCGACAGTCCGAAAATCCTAAAAAAATCAACGAAATATTGTACATGTGCAAGAAAGTAGTTTGTACATGTACTAAAGTTACAAATGAGAGTCCTCCGGCTCGGTAGAGGGAGTGCTCAATATTCATTTGAATAGAGCTGTCTTACACACGGCACAGAGCACCACGCATGATTCGTTGTAACCAATAGTTAGTAGATGCCCTTAGCAAACAACAGTAACGCTATTTTGTTTTACGGTGCTCGTACCTTGATCACCCAAATAGCGTTGAAGCTGCAGCGTAAAAACCTTATGGGGGCTGATTTATCGTTGTGACAAACGGCACGTTTTTGGCCAAATATTGCGTAGTGCGCACCCATTTCACCTGGTATCGCGTATATGGCGCCACAAATGGTTGCACGGCGCGAAATAAAAGCTATACTCATAGCAACAGCGTACTATAATTAGCGTGTATGTTGCTGAAGGTCGAACCCAAATCTCGGTTTTTTTCCCTTACGGTAATACCGTTACAACAATAACGTTTTTTTGCTACGGGTGTCTAGTGTACTTCAGTTACTGTAAGATATTACGTGTACAGCATAGTATGTACATAACCGTAATGATCATTGCAGTAAGTGTAACTCAACTGCTGCTGCTACTGCTGCTACTGCTGCTGCTACTGAATGGTCACTATCATGATTTGTGCCCTGCTCACCCACACCCACTTTACACCCAGTGCTCACCCACACCTGCCCCACGCCCAGCATACAGGGGTACTCTTGCCACATACTGACATAGCGTGGTTTGTGCTGTGTGCATGACCCGCTGTGCATAACCCAAGTGCACATGTGTGCATGCGTGTGTGTGTGTGTGTGTGTGTGTGTGTGTGTGTGTGTGTGTGTGTGTGTGTGTGAAATAACTCCAATTTGACTTCAAGGTACCAGTGCATCTACTTCGAAGTAGAGTCTGCTTTTATCAAAGCAGCGTGCTGTCTATACTGGTTACCCCAGCAAGTGTAGGGTGTACATAGGTAGCTGTCTTGGCCGTCCTATTCCGATGTACTCCGTGTGGTGTAGACCAGGTGTGCATTGGGGGGTCGATTCACATGGCTTCGCCAGTTGTGTGGATTAGACAGTTATCTGTCGCTTGTCTTGATCTGTTTCGATCAGAATCAGATCCGCTATCGTTGCTATAAAGAGAAAATCTGTGGGTTCACCTCCAGTGCATTTGCAGATTTGCGTGCTTCTCTTGCGACGGGCGTGTACATGGTACATGGTGTGTGTGTGGCGTGCATGCACATGTGTGTGTGTGTATGTGTGTGTGTGTGTGTGTGTGTGTGTGTGTGTGTGTGTGTGTGTGTGTGTGTGTGTGTGTGTGTGTGTGTGTGTGTGTGTGTGTGTGGTGTAGACCAGGCTGAGTAGTGGCGGTCAATTCTTCAGCCTTGCAAGCTGTTGAATGGTGCAATCCCAGCACAAGTGTCTATGGCTTCTGCTGTAGCATCGCTATCATTGCCTCCGGGGATGGGCGTCAAATGGTCAATGGTGTGTGTGTGTGTTTGTGTATGCGTATGTTCACATGTTCACATAGATTTACCAGCCAAGAAGAAGGTCAAGGTGGCATCACGCACTGTCGCTCTATTGGTCGGTCTGTTGGGACTGCTGTATATCTTTGTGTGCTCATTGTCACTGATGGGATCGGCGTTTCAGCTACTTGGCGGCAAGCAAGCTGGCGAAACGCTATCGAATAGCTCTCTGTTCAACAACCCAGTAGCAGCATTGGTCCTGGGTGTTCTGGTTACAGTGCTGCTGCAGAGCTCGTCGACGACCACCTCAATTATTATCAGCATGACAGCGTCTGAAAGTAAGTTGCTCAAAGCCACCTACATGTACATGTGCAATGTTGTGAGGTGTTTTACACATGCACTATGCGAATACCGGTGGTATGCATGCCGTAGCCATTCTAATACTACTACTGGCCAGTGTCTAGCCCACTTCCCCATTCTACTGGCCAGTGTGTAGCCCACTTCCCCATTCTACTGGCCAGTGTGTAGCCCACTTCCCCATTCTACTGGCCAGTGTCTAGCCCACTTCCCCAGTCGACCAGTTCCGTTACAGAATCCATCTAAACTAGTGTGTGTGGAACTACCGTAAAATTCCGTAAATAAGCCCACCCTAAATAACGCCCATGTCCGATAATAAGCCCAGTTTTAGGCGGTGTACACTTCAAGTCTGTTTTAGCGCCCATGCCCGAAATAAGCCCAGGGCGTAAAGTGGACTCAAAATGACAAGCGCGCGAGCGTGCGTTCGCGTACAAACTGTAGAACAGTTGTAGATCAAGTGTGTGCCATCCAACTGCATGCAGCACAGAACTCAACACTGTCACGGCGCGCCAGGACAGCGATGTTCCGTTACGACTAAATTTCCAGCTGTGGTTTGATGTACCTGTACCGTGCTCAGTGTGAATGGTGGTTCACTGAAACTAGTGGGTTGCTGATAGATTGATCTTCTGCAAATTGCGTCCGAAATAACGCCCATGCCCTAAAATAAGCCCATGCCCAAATATACGCCCGGTGTTTGACGCTCTGCAAAGTATACGCCCGGGGCCCGGGGCTTATTAACGGAATTTTACGGTAGTTGCAAAAGTAAGAGATATTCCTTCCATTGCCAGAGAATCTCCTAGCCGGTGCTGCTGCCACCAGATACTTGCTAGCAGCAGATGCAGCATAATGTAATAGTCGTACTTCAAGTATACTGTATGTCAATGTGTAGTGATTAGCAATAATTACTGTAAGATGAAGCGGTGAGCTGTTTAATGATGCCGACCAAGCACACACCATCTGCCCTGTGCAAGGGGCCGACGGTGACAATACTTTCCCCGCATGTCTTCTTTCTTTGCTGTGTGTGCAGTATTGCAAGTGAAGCAGGCCATATTCATGGTGATGGGCGCCAACATTGGCACGTCCGTCACCAACACCATTGTGTCCATGACGCAGATCACGAGCCGTGATGAGTTCCGGCTGGCGTTCTCCGGCGCTACTGTGCACGACGTGTTTAACTTTCTGACCGCGCTCACTCTGCTGCCCGTGGAGGCTGTTAGTGGCTATCTGCTGCACCTGTCCACTGCCATTGTGGATAGCTGGCACTTGGACAGCTCCAATAAGGGCACGCAACAGGAGCTGCTCAAGGCAATCACCAAGCCACTCACCAACAGAGTGGTGCAAATCGATAAGAAACCGCTGCAGCTGATTGCCGAAGGCAAGCTCAACGCGACGGACGCACAGCTGCTGAAGCAGTATTGCTCAAGCTTTACTCGTCGTCTGGACAACTGCACTGTAACCGCCGTACTGAGCACTGGACCACCAGCTGTTGCCAATGTCAGTAATGTCACCACTTCGCCTACGATTGCATCGGAAGCTGTCACGGTTGCGACCAGCGCTGTGCAGGATAGTCTGACAAACTACACCCTGAACGCCCTTGACGAGACCTGTTTACGAGAAGAACAGGTGCCGTGTGACTATCTCTTCCATGGCTCCAGTCTTCCGGAGAGCGCCGTGGGTGCTATCCTACTAGTCTGGTCGTTGGTTATGCTGTGCGTGTCGCTTGTACTGATGGTCAAGGTGTTGACACGTCTGCTGCGTGGCCAGCTGTCCAAATCCGCCAAGAGCACGGTTAATGCGGACTTTCCGGGCCGGGCCGCCGTCCTGACGGGTTACTTTGCTATTCTGATCGGCGCTGGCCTGACCATGCTCGTGCAGTCTAGCTCTGTGTTCACTTCGTCATTGACGCCGCTGGTGGGCCTGGGCATCATCGATCTGGAGCGCATGTATCCGCTGACGCTGGGCGCCAACATTGGCACCACCATTACCGGCATGTTGGCAGGCCTTGCCAGCAGTAATGTGGAGCTTGCTATGAAGGTAAGAGTCTGGAATGTCACCGTAATGCTTCTGATACTTGAGGATTTGTGCCGTGCCTATTCTGACTCGCTTTAGAAGCCGCGTCTGCGCCTTGGTTCTTGAAGGTGGTGGCGTTTCTGAGGATTCAGAATACTCATTCTGAGTCTCACGCGAACCATCACATTTTTCATGATAGGTCCGCTGTGTGCTTGTACAGTTATGTTAGAAGTCGTAGCAGTTATCAGTGCACTGTTGCACACTGCTGCTGTGCTTGGGCGCTGTCCACACAGGATGGGACAGTGCCACGTGCAAATTGAGTACATGTTCATCGGACATGACTACTTGCTCTAGTTTTGTCTTTACGCACTTATTCGTATTCTTTGGGGATGGCTGTCTTGCAAGCTCGTAACTTTAGCTGATAGTACAGTTAGTTAGACATCGCGTGTGTGCTCCCGTTTTGGTCCCCTTGTGTTCAGCCCTCTTGCCACTCTGTGGAAATTGGTTGTAGCAGATCCCACCATGGAGTACAGTGTGCATGGTGCGGGTGGTTGTGTGACTGGTGTGACGACAGAGTCCTGTATGTTGATTATTCACCTGTGCGTTGTGCTAGGTTGCAATGGCACATCTCTTCTTCAACATCACCGGCATTCTCCTGTTCTACCCAATACCGCCGCTGAGAAGGATACCGTTGCGAGCGGCGCGCTTTCTCGGTGCCACCACGGCAAAGTATCGCTGGTTTGCCATAGCCTACCTGATCATTCTCTTCCTTGTGTGTCCCGGGATTATCTTCGGGCTGTCACTGGCCGGATGGCGTGTGCTACTTGGTGTTGGCCTACCCATACTAATAGCAATTTGTCTCATTGTTGCCATCAACGTTCTGCAAAAGAAACACCCTCACGTCTTGCCTAAACAACTGCGCAGCTGGTCCTTCCTGCCTGAGTGGCTCAAGTCTTTGAAGCCATACGACAGGGTATTCAGAGAAACGGCTCGCCAATGCCGCTGCTGCCGCGACCAGGGTTACGATACAGAGGAGGGCAGCAGCTATGAAAACTCCACGTCAAGCACTCCCGCGGAAGACGACCACAAGCTTGGGCTTTCCAGGCAAACCACTGTCACGTTGTGCACGGAATCATCCGTGTAATCGACCTGTATTATAGGCTTGGTGGATTTTGAGATCTTTTTTTTTTATATAGACATACATAGACGTAAGTGCGTGCTCTGCCGGTCAGAGGCCACTACTTTTAGGTAGTTTCCTAGACGTCGTGCTCTGATATTACTCTGCTGATACCGAGCTGTCAAGTACATGTCTAGATGTACCCGTTGTCTACAGTCATGTGTTTTGTGTGGCGCTGGCTGCTTCTTGCCGCCACTGCTGTACAACACACTACTGGGTCGCACTGCTGCTTTTTGGTGTCAACTTGAAAATGTAACTATGGCATCGACTGCCAGTGCACAGGGCAATGCTTAAACCCTTTTTCTATTTACCTGTGCGGTGGCCACTATCTGTGCAGTTTGCCACCTACCGTATATTCTCTATTATAAGCACAGGTCTCCATTACTAGCACAGTCTCTAATACTAGCACACTGTGAGCCCCTTTCGAAACATTATTAGCACGGTCCTGGTGGAAATCAATGCTGCATGCATGATATCTAGCATGTATTTCTTCTTGCTCTGTATGGATGTACAGTGCGGATCGGCTATAGGGTTGTCGGCTATAGTATTATACCTCTTATAGTGATCGTATTCTCTAGCTTTTCAATCTTTAAAAGTAGGACGGTATATTAACACAAACATGCATGTACTAGTTCTATTTTTTAGCAATCTCTTCAGGTTTCAGCTGCTGTGGGAAACTATTTTAGTCTTATTTTCATTCTCTTTCATTTTGGATTAATTTGTTCCTTTCTGGTTTTTAAAATATTCTGCAACCATGCGCCTCTTGTGCACAAGTTATTTATTATTTTAGATTGTTACGCGATCTCTACCTCTTTCTCCCCCCCCCCCCCCCCCCCCCCCGTCTCTCTCTCTCCCTCTTGCTCACTCTGCATTATCTAGCATTTTCTTCTTTTTATTTTTTAAGCCAATATGCTCAAAGGATCTAACTATAATTATACCAGTACACGAAAGAAGCGTTGTTTTTCTGGTACAGTATTATAATGATGTTATTTATGGTTTTGTTCCATTCAGTACTGTCTTGTTTAGAAGCCAGTTTGAAAATAAGCCTGATATTCAAGATGGGCCGTCCTCACATACAAGTAGCCTGGTTTTACTGTTGGCATTCATAGAAATTTAGAAATACCTAGTTTGAACAGGAGCCTGATTTCATTTTGCCCGTAAAAGAGGCTCTCACCGCCAAACAGAAGCCTGATCTGAATAGCAAACCAAGCATCGACTTCTACAGGGACGTACGATGACCGCACCACGCACATGGCTACAGCTAATGCCATTTCTGTATGTACTTCCACTATCATGAGCGGAATGCAATAATTGCTGCTTTGGTTACACATTCATTGGTATAGTACTGTACTGTCACTGTGCAGGGAGCCATGATAACAAAATAATTAATTGGAATGAAACTGTTTTCCATTATTCCTGGCCGCTGGATGGAGGTAATAACTGCACACATTCCGGGTAGCAAGGGTACCCTATTGTGTGTTATACAGTGATTGTGCATAGAAAATTAGAAATTGCACAGTAAGCACATAGCCGTGCTTTTTACACGCACCGTTGCGAAGATACCGTACTCGAACTACCCTATAATATTGCGAGTATCGGGTTTTTAGGAGCAACCTGCTACCCGAACAACCGCTCTAATTACGGGTAGCACGGGTACCCTACTACCCGATGATGTCCCTACTTTGAATAACTTCAAGTAGACAATCCAGTGCATCAAGCAAGAACATGTGTATTGTTGGTAGAATGGAAGGGAGATAGTGGCCCTCCGAGGAATTACGAAAACTATTAAAAAATATGTGTGGACAACGTCAGCTTGTAAAAAAAACTGAATGGTAACCATAGTAACTGAGTCAACTGATGACTGGTGTGGACCAACGTGCAACAAGTACTGCAGTGCACATGATAATGCATGTCCTGGCTGTACTAGTACTAGTACATGCCAGACTGGGCGGGAGAGCCCACAAACTGTAAAAATTATGCAATACCAGCCTACAAAATCCTGTAAAAAGCAAATCATAGAAAAATAATCAGTCAATGTGAAAGCTATGATATGATGGGCTTGGCCCGGCACTCGGCTCGATTCAGCCTCCAGACAGAATGTGGTGGGTACGAGTACGTAAACGAGGGATGTTTAGTCAAGGGAAGAACATGATGAATGCTTGGTCTATATCGACGAGCAGACAGTGGTACCCTTATACTAGAGAATACGCGTGCCCA